TCTATGTAAATTAATACTGTTTGTTTCTTAAACATTTGGGTGACAATTATTTTGATGAAATGCATTAGAACTAGTTTTGTGGACCATGTTTTGGAAAACAATGGTCTAGAGCATGACTGAAATATGAAATAGTGAATTCCTGTCTGTGTGAATGCTCTTGTTTTTATTCATTTCCTTCCTTTATGCAGCACTGGCCCCCTCACCTTTTCCCTTCCAGCTGTTGGGGGCTCAGCTAAGTGACCACACAGGAGAGCAGTGAGGCCATTTGAGGCCTGAGCTTGGTTCTCAGGACTCGACTCTCTCTCCCTACCATCAAGCAGCCCGCCCCAGTCCTGCCAGCCATCTCCACACTCCTCTGACAGAATGAATGCCCTCGATGGTGTTCCCTTCAAGTTGCCCAAGGGCTTTGTGATAGGCACAGAGCCTCTTCCTGGGCCAGAACTCAGCGTCCCGCCCTGCGGGGAGCTTCTGCTGGGTTCTATGGTAAGTGTGTCTCTGTGTTTTTGTCTTCTAGGTCTGTGGGTCTGAGGCTGAGTCCATGGGGCCTTGTTCCTTGAATTTAAAGGACAGCTAGCCCTGACCAACATGGTGAAACCCCGTCTCTACTAAAAATACAAAAAATTAGCTGGGTGTGGCAATGTGTGCCTGTAATCCCAGCTACTCGGGAGGTGGAGGCATGAGAATCGCTTGAACCCAGGAGGTGGAGGTTGCAGTGACCTGAGATCGTGCCACTGCACTCCAGCCTGGTGACAGAATGAGACTCCGTCTCAAAAACAAATTCAGCACTCTTTTTGGGCCACCGACCTTGTATCCAGCCCCACTGCTTGGCCTGGGCACACCTACCAACTCCACCATTGTAACGTCAGAATGGTACACACTATTTCTGTAAAGTGACATCTTTCAGATACTTAATGGCTTTTCGCATATGCATACCCTTGATGGCCTGGGCAGTTGCATGAGTGTTCTTAAAGTGACCATGAAAATTTGAACCTCTTGATTTTCACGATTTTATGGGGTTCTCCAGGTCAAATGAATAGTGAACCATTTTCACAGATTACCTCAGGCCTCTTAGGGAAAGAGCTGTTTTTGTTTTTTTCAGCGTTTCCCTCTGTTGCCCAGGCTGGATGGAGTGCAGTGGTGCAATCTCAGCTCATTGCAACCTCCTCTTCTAGGGCTCAAGCGATCCTCCCACCTCAGCCTCCCAAGTAACTAGGACTATAGGCATATGCCACCATGCTTGGCTAATTTTTTATATTTCTTTGTAGAGATGAGATTTCACACCATGTTGCCCGGGCTGGTCTTGAACTCCCGGGCTCAAGTGATCCTCCCACCTTGGCCACCCTAAGAGCTGCAATTACAAGCATGAGCCACTGTGCCCGACCTGCTTTTGTTTTTTGAGACAGGGCCTACTGTGCTGGGCTCAGGTGAAAGCTTCTTTGCTAAGAATAAGTTTTATTGGAGAAAATTTTTAAGTAGTTTTTGCTCAACTACATACTGAATGGCAAAGGGATTTAGATGTTGGATTTAATTACATTTCATTCTATTAACGAATTCATCACTTTGTCATTTATGCCAGTTTGCCATTAAACTGTTACTGGTATCCATCGACCACAGTGTTAGCTATAAAACCCAGGGTAGAGTGGGCTGTGATGGAAGCCCGGGGCTCAGAATCTGACGCTGTCCAGGCCTAGAGAGTCTCTGGCTGAACAGGGTCCCCCAGGCCAGGGGTTAGTGTTGTGACCCCGGGGTCCTGGTTTGCTCCGGGCTTTACGTCGCCTTCTTTCCACAGCACGACTTCAGCCTGGAGAGGAGGGCACTCTTCTGGGTGGAGGCCGCCGGCCAGGGACCCAGCCCGTACCAGTGCGGTGACCCGGGGACAGCGTCGGCCCCTCCAGCCTGGCTCCTGCTAGTCAGCCCCGAACATGGGCTGGCGCCTGCCACAATCAGAGACCAGGAGGCCGGACACCAGGAAAGGCCGGAGGAGGAGGGTGAGGACGAGGCAGAAGCCTCTTCTGGCAGCGAGGAAGAGCCGGGCCCACGCAGCCTCCAACCGGGCTCTCCGGCCAGCCCCGGCCCCGGCCGTC